GACGGGCGGCTTCCGAAACGGCTGATGTTCGGCGAGTTGGTGGGAGGGGAGAACCCGGGCCGGGGAAGCCCGGAGCAGAACTGGCTGATATGCCTGAAGGACGACCTGAAGATAGATGTTCGAAGCCAGACACGGCTCCACGCCCGACATGCGGAGCTTCTTCGGAATCCCGAAGCCAGACTGGGACTAGGCGGCGAAGGTGGAGGGGGGGGTACCGTGGCACGCGGGGGTGCTACAGGGAGCTGAGAGGTTTATGGCCTCTTGGCACAAGGGCGAGGAGAAGGCCAGCCGACAACGAGCCATCAAACGAGGAGACAGCGGGCCCAAAAATAGTCTAGATACGGCACCAATCAACGGGGCGGGAGGGGGGCGGGAGGAAACGGCGCGGGAAGAAAGCAAGCGAGAAGAGACCGACCGCGTGACGTGACATGTTGCGGTTGAATTTCAGCGACTAGTTTTTCTGTTGCCCTCTCCTCCGTTTGCTGTCGCGTTCAGATTGTCTCTGCGGATATCCCTGTCTCTGTGCGAATTTGTTCATGTCCTCGTCTGTCTTTGGTTTATTTCGTTTCATTTTTTTTTTTTTTTTTGGCACGTACTACTGCTGACCCTTGGGGTCCTTCCGGAAGGCTACCCCCCAGGCTGGTGGTGCGCACGTTCCACTATTTATTTATTTATTTGTTTCTGATTCTTTTGTTTTCTTGTATTTTATCGCTCTGCTAACCCTTGGGGTCCATTTTATTTTGGTATACCTTTTCTAGGTACGTTAGCCTGTGGCCACGGAAATTGACCGAGTTAAGTGCTGGATTATTAATAGTACGGAGAGATTGAGACAGAAGGAGGTACTGGATAGAGAGACCGGGATGGTTTTTAATGTGAAGACAACAACAACAACAACTTCATCGCTCACTAGTTTAATAGTGCCGTTTACTCCAACCCGTGGTCACACAGAAGAGCCCCTCTCCACCCTCCCGTCCTGCGGTACTTTGCCTTCGATTTTTAATGCGAGAAGACTTCAGCACTCTCTTCCCTCTGTGTACACACGAACTGGCGCTACCCACTAGGCCAGGAGCGGAAGCGAGACAAAAACCCACTTTGCAAGAAAAGCTCGCTTACGCCGGGATTCGAACCCCTGACCCTGATGACCTGACCTCTAGAAGGTTTCGAGGTTACCAACTGGACAACCGGGGCGACCAGATAAGAGGGGGGGGTTTACCCCCTCCTGCGGTTCCTGCCTTATTATGTACTTTTATCGCGAGAAGGGTACAGCAATCCCTTCCCTCGCCACTTATGAAGTCGATCAAGTTTACTAACAACGAGCTTTGCAACGCGTCGCTTCCACGGAGACCAGCATATAGTCTAATTAGCGAGAAAAAACTCACTCTGTCGGGACTCGAACCCATGACCGGGTCCTCAGCAGACTGCGAGGCTACTCACTATACCGCTGGGTGGGGCGACCGGTTGGTACCTTTACCAAGTGGTCATAAGTGGTGGTCTCCACTTAATGAAGTCGGAATAATTTGCTCGGGACATTATTCCTTGCAAGTTGGGGGGCGCTCGTGCGCAATAACCCGAGCAACAACCTCTAGAGAGTATCCCTCTTGCGCCGCGGCAGCGGGCAAACACAGGCGTACTTGCTTGTACACATTTTTTATTTGGAAAAATAAAAAAATATATATATATTATTCTTAATACACTTTTTTTTTTTTTGTCTTCACCTCAAATCAGCGCACACGGCACCAGTCTTACAGTGCCGTTTACTCCAACCCGTGGTCACACAGAAGAGCCCCTCTCTACCCTCCCCTCCTGCGGTACTTCGCCTTCGATTATTAATGCGAGAAGAGTTCAGCACTCTCTTCCCTCCGTGTACACACGAACTAGCGCTATCTACCAGGCCAGGAGCGGAAGCGAGAGAAAAAATCACGTTGCAAGAAAAGCTCGCGTACGCCGGGATCTGAACCCCTGACGCGACCGCTAGAAGGTAACTTGTTTTAAACCCGGGTGTGTTTAGTACAGTACATACTGGACGTACTCGAGTATTTTACTCGAGTTTTTTACTTTACTCTGCTAATAGTAGGTTTAGTACAGCTTTCGATACTGTACTAAACCTACTATACGCTTTGGTACAGCCCTCGGTACTGTACTATAGTCCGGGTTTAGTATTGGGTTTGGACTGGTACTATACTCGGCTTAGTACAGTACTGCTGAAAATACTGTACTATACTTATGGGTTTAGTACAGCTCTCGATACTGTACTAAACCTACTGCACGCTTTAGTACACCTCTCCGTATTGTACTATACTGTAGGTTTAGTACAGCCGTCGATACTGTACTATAATCAGTAGTACGTTTAGTACAGCTCTCCATACTATACTAAAGCCAACAGTAGGCCTAGTACTATCAGTACTGCTGTACTCTACTCGTTCGGGTAGTAATCCGGGTATCTACCCGGATCTGCCCGGATTCCGGCTAAAGGGTGTGTTGATGACGTCATTCTTGCGCAAAAGCAGCGCGTTTTGGTTCTGTTGTTGTTGTTGTTGTTGTTTCTCACATTAGCTCTAAAAAAAAAAAAGATTGGGAGCCCGTGGTCTCAAAACCCGGCATACACGACCCCACGAAGAAACAGAAAAAAATAGGGTACAAAAACCACTCGGAAGAGAAACAAAATGATAGAAAGAAAGACCAGCTACCGCACCAAACGAGAAAGAGCGTCGAGGAGACCGATCAAAATAAAATAAAAGGAGAA